AACTTGACAACACATAACAACATACAAATTCATACATGTGAAAATATATTGAGTAGAGCTAGAGTTTACTGATTTCATTTTCTCACTTGGGGCTCCTGCTTGGCTGTCTCTTATAGGAACTGGTATTTTCTTAATTAAGCTATTCCTAGACATTTCTATGGAGTCTTTGGAATTCTTAAAACAATGTTTAGGACAAATGTTGGCATTTCTTCACTAATTGAGGTCTATAAGCTACTTAAAGTTTGATTTTCTTAACCTTAATGGAATCCTTCTTTCTAGACAAAAACAAGAAGTGTATCTGGAAATTAGTTAATTTCAAAGATGCTGGAAACAGATTAAGAAAATGTGAAAGGATGAATGTAATAGTTTAATGTGTGTGTAATGTTTTATTCTCAGTTTGCATAGGGAAGGGAAGGAAATTGTGTTTCTTGAACAGACATCCACTAAATATCTTTTGTTTACCATGCTTCATGCTAGTTGGGTTCTGGCTGGAATTATGAAAGAAGACCCTCATGTTCAAAATTACTGTAATTATAACTGAAGTATATTAACGTTATTCATGGAATTAACCAATAACCTTAGACATCTTCATGGTTTTCCAAAAACAAAAAAGAAAACTCATGTGTTTCCAACTTTTCAGAAGTAGAGGGCCAAACAACTGGTTTGTCCTCTTATGGAGTACAAAGGATGTAAAGGATACAAGAAAGTTCTGTTTCTCAGCTATTGTCTTCATATATTCAATTGAGTAGAAATTTATTTGGTTTAGCAAGTTCATCTTTTTAAAGCCAATCCTGTACCCTTACAGATGGTTACACTTTTGTGCATGTTAGTTAAATCAGATATACTCACATTATTAACTGTAATAGTGACCATTTATTGAGTTTCTACTAAGGACCAGGTACTGTGCTACATGCTTTATTGTACTACCTTTTTTTTTTTTTTAACTAATTTTGTAGCCCAGGGAAATGTGTCTGACCATAGAGTACCAGAATCTGCTGGAAAAGTCATTGGAGAGATCTATGGAATGTTCTTGCAAAAAATTTAATATAAAGTCTGACAGGAAGCATGTGGCCTTTTGTTTTACTTCTTTTGTTTGATTGCATGTTCTTACAGGTCTCTAAAAAAGTAGCAGATTTAATCCTTGAAAAACAACCTGCTTATGTAAAGGTAGGATAATATTTGTTATTTTCTCGTGGTAAAATTTTGAAAATGTTTGAGTGTTTTACACTTAAAACTGTTAGAATATTATAGCAAATCTTTTGTCTATAGTTCTGTAGTAACATATTTG